GTGTGCAGACATTTTATGCAATAAATGAAGTAGGTTCAATCTAGTAGTTCTGATCTTCTGATTGGTCCTGATGAGTTGGGCGAGGTCCCCTGCAGGCTACTGTCACTGTTGCATTGGCTCTGAGTCGGGTTCTCTGTCTTCAAATGTTCAGCCTAAGAGAGGGGATTTTTGTGTGTGTGTGTGTGTGTGTGTGTTTAACAGTGATGATGTGTGTGTGTGTGTGTGTGTTTAACAGTGATGATGTGTGTGTGTGTGTGTGTTTGTGTGTGTGTGTGTCCTCAGAGCAAGAACTCGTGAGTTGGAAGAACTGAGAGGCCTATGGCGTGGGTGTTGTCCTTGGCCACCTGCTGACAAGGCTGACAAGATAGGACCCTTTTGTCCATTGTTATTGGATAGGAACAGAACTTATAACCAGCTCCTGACCTAAATAGATCTTAGCACAACATTTTACTCAACATATCATATTCCATATTCACTATAACAAATATATTTACTACGACATTAGCAAGAACCGCCACATCCTCAGCCGGCTAATCCAGTGTGTGAAGTTTTGCGGAGTGTTTGAGTTAGCTTTGCGAGGCAAAGATGAAACTGAGGGCTCCACCAACCCTGGTAAGCCAACACTTTTGAGATCAGTCAATAAATGCTTCTGGTATTGACTTATATGCTGCCCCTGTCTTCATGTTGTTGCTGGACATATCTTTTTTTAAATGTGTGTAGGTCACCTAAATCATCAGAAAAATTGCCCCTCCTGAGAATTTTTTCAGGAGCCGCCACTGGGTGTACCTGTGGATGTATTTCAAGGCCTACCTTCAAACTCAGTGCCTCTTTGATTGACATCATGGGAAAATCAAAAGAAATCAGCAAAGACCTCAGAAAAAACATTGTAGACCTCCACAAGTCTGGTTCCTCCTTGGGAGCAATTTCCAAATGCCTGAAGGTACCATGTTCATCTGTACAAACAATAGTACGCAAGTATAAACACCATGGGACCACGCAGCCGTCATACCGCTCAGGAAGGAGACGCGTTCTGTCTCCTAGAGATTAACATACTTTGGTGCGAAAAGTGCAAATCAATCCCAGAAGGACAGTAGAGGACCTTGTGAAGATGGTGGAGGAAACGGGTACAAAAGTATCTATATCCACAGTAAAACGAGTCCTATATCGACATAACCTGAAAGTCCGCTCAGCAAGGAAGAAGCCATTGCTCCAAAACCGCCATAAAAAAGCCAGACTACTGTTTACAACTGCACATGGGGACAAAGATCGTACTTTTTGGAGAAATGTCCTCTGGTCTGATGAAACAAAAATATAACTGTTTGGCCATAATGACCATCGTTATGTTTGGAGGAAAAAGGGGGTTGCTTGCAAGCCGAAGAACACCATCCCAACCGTGAAGCACGGGGGTGGCAACATCATGCTGTGGGGGTGCTTTGCTGCAGGAGGGACTGGTGCACTTCACAAAATAGATGGCGTCATGAGGAAGGAAAATTATGTGGATATATTGAAGCAACATCTCAAGACATCAGTCAGGAAGTTAAAGCTTGGTCGCAAATGGGTCTTCTAAATGGACAATGATGCCAAGTATACTTACAAAGTTGTGGCAAAATGGCTTAAGGACAACAAAGTCAAGGTATTGGAGTGGCCATCACAAAGCCCTGACCTCAATCTTATAGAACATTTGTGGGCAGAACTGAAAAAGCGTGTGTGAGCAAGGAGGCCTACAAACCTGACTCAGTTACACCAGCTCTGTCAGGAGGAATGGGCCAAAATTCACCCAACTTATTGTGGGAAGCTTGTGGAAGGCTACCCGAAACGTTTGACCCAAGTTAAACAATTTAAAGGCAACGCTACCAAATACTAATTGAGTGTATGTAAACTTCTGACCCACTGGGAATGTGATGAAAGAAATAAAAGCTGAAAGAAATAATTCTCTCTACTATTATTCTGACATTTCACATTCTTGAGATAAAGTGGTGATCCTAAATTACCTAAGACAGGGAATTTTTACAAGGATTAAATGTCAGGAATTGTTAAAAACTTAGTTTAAATGTATTTGGCTTAGGTGTATGTAAACTTCCAACTTCAACTGTATATATATATATATATATATATATATATATATATATATATTGTGAAGGAAAATTGTATTTTTGGTTTTCTAATAAACAATTAGACTGGGTTCATGATCGTGCCTGGAAGGAATCCTCACTATCAGTATCTGCAATTTGGCAGTACACCCAGAACATTGTTTTGAGAACCGAAAGGAGTGCCTCAGTTTCAAGGTCTCAGCTTGTATAGAAGATGCCTTGTGAGGTATTGGTCGGTCACATGCATGAACCAAACGTTAATGATGAATTAATTATGCATAATGAATAAGCTAAATCATGCAAATATAACTTGTCTGTGTAAGTAGTATATAAGAGAGCTAACGTGACTGCCCTGGCGGAGCTCCTGACCGACATGTGTACTATGGTGCATTGAGTGGGTTGGAACCTCTCTAGCTAGCTGATAATAAAGAATGATTAATTTAATATTGACTTCAGATGTCCCTGGTGGTAATTTCCATGACAATATATACATATCCACAGTGAGAATGGAGAGAATGGTCCAATAACCACAATTCAATACAACACAACATGAATCTGAGGTTTGCATGAATCTGAGGTTTGCAAAGCCAAATGGGAAGTTCAAGGTCATCAGTTTGATCAGTGTTAAAAAGCAATAACAAGGGAAGGAATTACAGAGGGAGGATTTGGTAGAAACTCAGGACAACACGGCAGAGAGTGGGAGACGTAGGAGGGGTGCGGGACAAAGCAGAATGTACTGTAGTGTCACTGTCATAGTAGTGTCCCCGTATACACTCAAGTTGTAAAAAAAATAAAAATACAATAATTACACAAGCGTTGTGGAGACACCGCACAATGATTGTGTAAATATTATTGATTTCAGTAGTAAGTACCTTCTCATTCAAGTCGAAACAATGCTATGCCAATACAGTGGGGGAAAAAAGTATTTAGTCAGCCACCAATTGTGCAAGTTCTCCCACTTAAAAAGATGAGAGAGGCCTGTAATTTTAATCATATGTACACGTCAACTATGACAGACAAAATGAGATTTTTTTTCTCCAGAAAATCACATTGTAGGATTTTTAATGAATTTATTTGCAAATTATGGTGGAAAATAAGTATTTGGTCAATAACAAAAGTTTCTCAATACTTTGTTATATACCCTTTGTTGGCAATGACACATGTCAAACGTTTTCTGTAAGTCTTCACAAGGTTTTCACACACTGTTGCTGGTATTTTGGCCCATTCCTCCATGCAGATCTCCTCTAGAGCAGTGATGTTTTGGGGCTGTCGCTGGGCAACACGGACTTTCAACTCCCTCCAAAGATTTTCTATGGGGTTGAGATCTGGAGACTGGCTAGGCCACTCCAGGACCTTGAAATGCTTCTTACGAAGCCACTCCTTCGTTGCCCGGGCGGTGTGTTTGGGATCATTGTCATGCTGAAAGACCCAGCCACGTTTCATCTTCAATCCCCTTGCTGATGGAGGGAGGTTTTCACTCAAAATCTCACGATACATGGCCCCATTCATTCTTTCCTTTACACGGATCAGTCGTCCTGGTCCCTTTGCAGAAAAACAGCCCCAAAGCATGATGTTTCCACCCCCAAGCTTCACAGTAGGTATGGTGTTCTTTGGATGCAACTCAGCATTCTTTGTCCTCCAAACACGATGAGTTGAGTTTTTACCAAAAAGTTCTATTTTGGTTTCATCTGACCATATGACATTCTCCCAATCCTCTTCTGGATCATCCAAATGCACTCTAGCAAACTTCAGACGGGCCTGGACATGTACTGGCTTAAGCAGGGGGACACGTCTGGCACTGCAGGATTTGAGTCTCTGGCGGCGTAGTGTGTTACTGATGGTAGGCTTTGTTACTTTGGTCCCAGCTCTCTGCAGGTCATTCACTAGGTCCCCCTGTGTGGTTCTGGGATTTTTGCTCACCGTTCTTGTGATCATTTTGACCCCACGGAGTGAGATCTTGCGTGGAGCCCCAGATCGAGGGAGATTATCAGTGGTCTTGTATGTCTTCCATTTCCTAATAATTGCTCCCACAGTTGATTACTTCAAACCAAGCTGCTTACCTATTGCAGATTCAGTCTTCCCAGCCTGGTGCAGGTCTACAATTTTGTTTCTGGTGTCCTTTGACAGCTCTTTGGTCTTGGCCATAGTGGAGTTTGGAGTGTGACTGTTTGAGGTTGTGGACAGGTGTCTTTTATACTGATAACAAGTTCAAACAGGTGCCATTAATACAGGTAACGAGTGGAGGACAGAGGAGCCTCTTAAAGAAGAAGTTACAGGTCTGTGAGAGCCAGAAATCTTGCTTGTTTGTAGGTGACCAAATACTTATTTTCCACCATAATTTGCAAATAAATTCATTAAAAATCCTACAATGTGATTTTCAGAATTTTCTTTCAAATTTGCTCAATTTGTCTGTCATAATTGATGTGTACCTATGATGAAAATTACAGGCCTCTCTCATCTTTTTAAGTGGGAGAACTTGCACAATTGGTGGCTGACAATTTTTTTTTTTCCCCACTGTATGTTTGACCCACAGTGACAAATGAGGGATATGGCTTGAAAACGTACCTCAATCCAAGGATGGAAGATGTAGCTGTACTTCTAAGTATCCCATATCGAGAAGATTGAAATACTACTAGTTTTTATTAAACTGCCTTTTTTGTCAGCATGCTCTGCTAGCCAATGCTAAAGCAGCCCATTGGATTCTATGAAAATGCAACACCTAGCGTTGGGGTGAGTAGCTGCTGGAAGTGTTGTGGAATCCAATGGGCTGCTTTACATTCGTTTCGATTTGAAGGAGAAGGTACTTACTACTGAACTTCAAGTCAAAACCATTCCGGCTATTGTACAACCTGAGTATGTACAGGTCCATTAAAGCAAGTAACTAAGATTTGAGGGAGAGGCTGCATCACTTGCATGGTGACCAATGTTGACCTTGTTGAGGGCGCCAATGCTGCGCGAGGCGGTGTCTGTGTAGAGTCGGCTGTGCAGCATCAAGGCACGACCCAGGAGGTAGAGTCGCAGGAACATGGGCAGAGCCAGCACGATCTCCAGCTCTGTCTCTGACAGCGTGGGGGACATGGCTTGCCATGACAATGGCAGACCCACTGGGAACGGGTGCACCGCCGCTACAAACAGCTCCAGGGCGATCAGGCTCACCCGCTCTGTTGTCATGGCAATTTGCCAGTCCTCTGATCCATTATCATGGATGTAGAGCTAACAGTGATGGGAGTATGGGTACAAAGCCATGTCAGAGTTAGAGCATAGAGGAAGTACAGTGTCACTGAGAGTGTAGTCAAAGTGTAATAAATGATATAATGAGAGGTACCAGACAAGGTTGCCCTCTGTCACCATCTACTTTCCTCATTAGCAATAGAACCTCTACTATACTATAGTCTGGTATATAACAAAAACTATTGTAGAGTAGAATGACTTCAAATAATCTAAGCTGAGGGATCACATAGCTAGTTTAAGATAGTGAGAGTATGGGCAGTGTAGTAGGTAGTCAGAGAGGCGAAATTACCTGCACCTCACAGATGTGGTAGGCAATGATCAGACCCAGCAGGAAGAGAGAGGACAGGCTGATAACACACTTCATAGCCATGGAGTATATGGAGCTCTGTAGGGAACACACATGTAGTGGACACACGTATCTTAACATACAGTAACCTTTATTTAGGCAAATATGCCTTCTTATAACGTACAGCCAGGATTAAATTATAGGCACATTGTAGCGTGTTTGACATTTAAAGGTAATTTCCGATTGAGCCGATTTATACGATCTCCGCCAACGCAGGAACATTTCCTTTAAAAGGCGCATTGTCCACAGCGCTTTACAACGCGCCTCTGATTGAATCCTGGCCACAGTAACCTTAATTCAGCAACAAATACTGAAGGCCTTCAAATAATTGTCTGTACGTTTGAACTCCTTATTTCTCACTAATTACCCAAGCATTTCAAATACTTGATCTGTAAAAGAAAAGTAAAGCTGCACACTCTAAGAGCTCAGATGCAATAATTTAATAACCTAATAACCAACATTTCGACAGACAAGCTGTCTTCATCAGGGTATAATGACAAACACTGCGGGTCACTAGTTTATATACACACGCAGGTGTCTGTAATCATGGCCGGGTGTGGCCTAATAGCATTGGTTAATTCACAGATAAACAGAAAATACAAAAAACATGGATAGCATACGATCATAGATACAACTTGGCTACATAGGCCCACAAACATTTACAATGAATAGCAAAATCACAATAATCACAAGAATGGCTTCAAATCAAAGTCTAAGTTGAGACCGAAGGGAGCAAGGGTCTTTAAATTAAAGATCCAGGCAGCCTCTCGTTTTAACAATAAGTTGTCGAGGTCACCCCCTCTCCTAGGGAGGGTGACATGTTCGATGCCGATATAACGTAGGGACGAAATCGAGTGGTTCGCTTCCAAAAAGTGGGCAGCGACTGGGTATGTCGAGTTTTTGCACCTAATGGTGCTACGATGTTCCAAGATTCGTACTTTTAATTCGCGCTTTGTTTTACCCACATAATGCTTACCACAAGGACAAGTTATAAGATAAATAACTGCCTTAGTGGAGCATGTAATAACACCTTTGATTGGGATCTGTTTCCCTGTTCGGGGGTGTTTAAAGGATCTACATTTGTAAGTGCCATTGCATTGAGCGCAGCCATTACACTTGTAGTTTCCATCCGGTAGAGGCGCAAATAGACGTTGTGCAGGGATATTTAGGGGTGGTAAATCAGAGTTTACCAATTGATCTCTGAGGTTTCTGCCCCACGAGAATACAACCAGGGGAGGGTCCGAAAACACATTACCAATACTGTCATCAGATCTTAGAATGTGCCAATGTTTGTGAACGATTCCCTTAATTTGTTCAGAGCACTTTGAATAGCGTGTAGTTATAACGCAAGAATGCTTATTTTTGCGAGACTGTCCCTGAAAGAGGTCAAGTCTCGATTTGTTTTGAATTTTCTCAATGGCAGTATTAATCTGACCATTTTTGTACCCCCTCTCCTTGAATTCTCTTTGCGTCTCAGCCATATTTCTGTCGAAATCTGATTGTTTTTTACAAATTCTTTTGATTTGACAGAATTGGCTGTAGGGCAAACTGTTTTTCAGGGGAAGCGGGTGACAACTATCAGCCCTCAACAAACTGTTACGATCAGTAGGTTTCCTGTAAAGATCAGTGTATAGAACATTATCCTCACACAAAATCAGAAGATCAAGGAAACTGATTTGACGTGTTTCACATTGCATAGTAAATCTCAGGTGCTCAGAACAAGAGTTAAGAAAAGCATAGAATGCCTGGAGCTGTTTTAAGTCACCCCTCCATATAACAAATATATATCATCAATGTACCGTTTCCAAATAATAATGTTAGGCAAGAAAATATTGAGGGTTGAAAATTGACTGTTTCTCAATGTAACCCACATACAAATTAGCATAGTTACGAGCCATAGGGGATCCCATAGCAGTACCCTTCGTCTGAATAAAGAAATCATTTAGAAACATGAAGTAGTTGTGTGTGAGTACTATTTCAGCCAGTGTTATAATGCATGCACTGGAAGGTAGTTCATTTGGGTCACGTTGCAAAAGAAAATGTGTGGAATATTCGTATATATAACGACTCAACATCAAAAGTAACTAACAAGGTATTATCAGGGAGAGGATCAAGAGATTCAACAATAGAGATCATACTGCTGGTGTCCTTTACAAAGGAGGGGAGCTGTTCTGCGAGAGGTCTAATAAAAACAGGGGCTGTTACTGCATCAATGCCGCTACAATAGGGCGCCCTGGAGGTTTTGTAAAATGATTGTGTAATTTCGGCAAAGTATAGAAAGTGGCAATTTTAGGGTGTTGAATAGCCAAAAAAATTGGGTTCTTTTTTGGTGATTTGACCAGAACTTAAATACCCATCTAGGACAGTAAAGATGGTGTTCTGAAATTGGGAAGTGGGGTCACTTCTGAGTTTCTTGTAAAAGGTGTTGTCAAGCAGTTTTCTGTGACACTCATGTATGTTCTGTTTATCTGTGAATTAACCAATGCTATTAGGCCACACCCGGCCATGATTACAGACACCTGCGTGTGTCCTTTGACACTATATAAACTAGTGACCCGCAGTGTTTGTGATTATACCCTGATGAAGACAGCTTGTTTGTCGAAACGTTGGTTATTAGGTTATTCAATTATTGCATCTGAGCTCCTAGAGTGTGCGGCTCTCCTTTTCTTTTTCAAGTGTTTTACTCCGTTAGCCAGCACCTCGCCTAAATAGGTGTGCGTTTCTTTCGCCTCTATAAATACTTGATCTGTGCCTGGTTGAACTTGCCTGGCTTAATAAATCTATAGAAAAGTCCCAAAACTGCAAACCCTGCCCATCTGGCACTCCAAGCAAACTCAAGCAAACGCTCAAAGTATATATAAAAATCACGCATTTGAACCCAGGTCTAGTTCCCAGTGCTGACCTTACTGTAGATGCTCCAGGAGAGCTCTGTCTCGGTGATCATGACCACCACTCCAAACATCCCCGCAGCGAGTGCACAGTCATTCAGCCTCTGCCTCCTCTCAAACAGTGCCCTTCGGCGGACCAGCCTACGACCGATGCTCTGGGTCTTCTTGTGAGGGCAGTCATGGACACCATCCTTGTGCTGCGCAACACTGGTCTCCTCACCTCCACCATAGGCAGCCTTGGCCTCAGACTTGGGGTGATTCTTGTCAGAGCTGGGTGTTTGGTTGGGAGCATGTGGCTGGTAGTCATCTTTGGTTGTAATGATGATCTCGGGTAGGCTCTGGCGGTCCTGCATCTCCATTGATGTGGCCTCCAGCCTTTGACCTCCTTCACTGGGTGGCCCACTTTCTGTCTCCTTTAAGTCCATTTGAGACATGCGGAGTCCTTTGTAGGGTGACTGAGTGGATGTCATGTCCTGCTGGCGCCTCTGTGGGCTTGCCTTTTTGGTTTTACTCCCCCAAATCCGATCCTTGTGCCCTGCATTCTGTTTATTCCCTGCTGGCTTCTCGCCTCTCTTTTCCTTGTGCACCTCCTTCCCCGTAACTTTTTTCTCATTGTCTCCCCTTCGGGGTGAGGAGCGTGGTGAGGGTGAGATATATTGGCAGCCGTTGTAATATGAGAGGGTGGGTGATGACTGGGTTCCATCGAGCCACACTGAGTGATCTCCCCCTTTTTGACATGAGTAGTTCCTTCCGCACTGGTTGCCAAAAGCAGGAGGGGGAGGGACCACTTTTGATGGAAGGAGGGGATGTTGCTCCTCCTCATCCTGCATTGTTAAGTTCATAGAGGGTGAGGGCTCCATCTAGGGATTGTTACAGGTGTTGAGTTATTGTTTGAACGATTTTATGGGGTTTGGAAAGAGATAACAGTGAGAAAGTGCAGCCAGTTTATGGAGTGAAAACAGTGAAAATGTATGAGAGGGAAGCATATAAAAACACAAACTCTGTTGTAAAAGAGGGGAAGTTGATATGCCTGCGGAATGCTGAGAGTTCACAGAAGACATTCATACTATTCACAGTTCACAGTAAACATGACCACAAACCCACTGGGCAAAAACTGGTTGAATCAACGTTGTTTCGACGTCATTTCAACCCCCCAAAACTATGTGATGACGTTGAATCAATGTGGAAAACTGATTGGATTTGCAAAAAGTTGTCAAAGGCATTTTGTCTTTTTTTCACCCAACTTTTAACCTAAATCCAATGACATACTGTAGACGTTGAACTGACGTCTGTGTCCAGTGGGAATGTTCCTCTGTGATAATGGTTGACATTATATTGAAATTTCCCTATGGGTTTTCCATCCAAGATAATATGATAAGACAATGGAAACCTGTTGGAAAAAAACTATGTCATTCTGCCAGAAAAATTGATCTAGAAATATTGTACAATTATTGTAGAAAACCCTCATTTAAGTTATTGCAGCACCTGGTAATCTTACAATCATAAATCTTCTTGCCAAATTACTGTTAAAACCGAATTGATTCCGCTCAGTCTTACCTCTCCACGTATTTCAGTTACTTCCAATTAAGTTTTCAATTCCACTGTTGTTGGCTAAGAACTCTTAAATGCCCTGTTCCTTTTAACTTCCTCAGATTGTCCTTTAGTCCATCTCCTTAAAGTCAACACAAATTAAATGAAGCATCAGTTAAATAGATCATGGGTATTATTACCTTAGGATAATTAGGTGACAAAACTACTTGTATTCAGATCAAAATATATTAATTATCTCAGAAATAACTTCATAACAATCCAGCTCCCTTCCAGCATGAACTATAATCCATACAGCAGCATATAAACCATATGTCCATGGATATCAATTGTATTATGACTCGTTTATTTAATTATTTTCCAGTATTAAGTTGTCCATCATGACGTCTTTGTTTAAGCTGGGCTTATGACTGTAAGATCCACAATTTCAGTTGTCCCCGGGTACATAATTTCTCATCAAGTTTGACAGCTCTTTCGCCTCTCTCTCCTTTTGCATGTCTGTGTGTGTTGAAGGAAAAAATAGTTTACATTTTGTTTTATTGAGGGATAGGCATTACTATTTTATTGGGTTTTATTCTCCAAGCTGGCAATTTTGATATTTTCCCATTTAATCTAAGAGAGTGAGTGATGGTCCTGCGTATCAACGCAGGGGTGGAGATTATAGAAATATGGCAGATTAATCAAGTTGGTTTGAGAGTCAGATATCTGATACTTATGGGCTTATGAAATATTAAATATGTCACCCTTTAGCCTGACATCTATTCATATTTTACAGATGGGGCTCCAGTTAACAGAGGAAGTCAATAAGGAGGGGTGGAGAGTAGAGGATAAAGACAGGTATTGTGTAATTACTCAGAGAGAGAGAGAGAGATGTACACGGAGGTCTAATCATCTAGCCCGTATTACAGTTATACAGCTGGGTGTAAAATAGATTAATTAGGGTAAGTACTCTGTTCAAGGGTACACAGCCAGGGTATGCAATCTGGGACTGGGAGCTGAACCCAAAAAACACTACAGTTCACTTCCCATCGCTCCATGCTATGCTTTGACTATAGTACAGGAATCCAACAGCCACACCAAAGCGACAGACTCAACCTCACTTATTATAGGCATCCTTAGTGAAGACAAGAAACATTAGAACAAGAACCTCTCAAATTTATATAGTAGCCTACCAGAAGAATGCAATGAGACAGGTGAAAGGCATTTGTTGAGAGATAATCCATCGGGAAAAGGCTACATTGAAAAGTGAGAAGTCAAGGCCACAGATATATGATAATATATTTGTTGTCGATAATACCCTATTAAGTGGGAGTGCCGTCAGCGTAGTATAACGCCCTAATCCAATCAAGAGAGTAATTAAAAACTCACAGCACAATGACTAATGGTGTGGGTCCCAAATGGCACCCTATTCCATAGCCAAGGGAAGTAGGGGTGCTGAGGGTACTACAGCATCCCCTGAAAAATCTGAATATGAAAAATAAAGGTATTTAACTAAATGTCTCACAAAAGCAGTGCACTGGGCCTTCACTAGTCCTTCTTACTTCCCGCGGCTATGCCCTATTCCCTATAGTGCACTACTTTTGACCAGAGTATTCTCTTGATCTTCTCCTCCTCACTTCCCTCCTCTCCTCCCCTCATCCTCTCCTTTCCCCTCACCTCATCACAGGTTGGTCAGAAATAGTTATCTTGAATGTAGTTTTTGTACAAACCACCAGATGTCACCCACACCCCAGTGGCTGCCATGCATATTTTTAAAGCTAAGGTGTTATGGTTTTGATTCTGGCACAATATAATAGTGCGTAATAGGACAGACACCATATTTTAATCAGACTTTAGTTCATTCTGTACACATTCAAATGATGGAAGTATGTAGATTCAACAGGAATCATCTAACATGATCTATTACAGTTGTGCACAATACAGGTAACTGCCAAAATAAAGTAAATAGGGGATTTAAAGTATATTGAATGAAGGTGCTTCCAAACAGGTGTTGTTCCTGAGTTAATTAAGCAATTTCAATTAAAACATCCCCATCATGCTTAGGGTCATGTATAAAAATGCCCAGTTTCCCATTATTTTGGCTACCATGGCTAGAAGAAGAGATCTCAGTAACTTTGAAAGAGGAAATCATCTCCCAAATATCATTATTTCTAAACAAGCCATAGAAAGTAGATTGCAATTTCAATTTCATCCACCAGAAACGACAGAACAACTAATACCACAAATATTGTGGTTAAACTCAAATATACTAATTGATAAAAAAAACATTATTTTTTGAATTTAAAAAAGAAAAATGTATTATCTTCATAAATTATATAATAGGTAGGACTGGTGAAGTTATGTCGCACATGCAGCTAACAAAAACATATGAAAATGTCTGCTCTACCCAAAATTACAACCAACTAATTGCAGCATTACTGTAAAAATGGAAGAGGAAAGTGGAAGGAGGAAAAAGTAAGAAACTTGTCTGTCGGCCCTGCATTAAAGATCATAATTGGTTAAAGAAAAGTGTGATGAATAAAAAAGTATACCAGTTTCATTTAAGGACCAGAGGATGGACAGCCGTGCCATATAGACACTTTTCCTAAATAGTTGGGAAGAGATTTTTGACCTACCGATTCCATGGCACATGGTTTATGAAATTATATGCAAAACGACGCCGGATTCAAAACTTTTTTTCAATGTTAATTATTATACAAAATTCTTGCCATCCAATAGAATGTTATTTGTATGGGGGATACAACCTTCCCAGCTCTGCAGATTTTACTGGGAAGAGACAGAACCATTAGATCATTTGTTTTGGTACTGTCTATATGTAGCTTGTTTTTGGTCACAGGTCCAGGAATGGATGAAGAATTACAATATTTACCTGGAGCTAACCCTGCAGATAGCTCTACTGGGTGATCTGAAAAGTCATAGTCATTCGATCAATAATATAATAATACTTTTAGCAAAAATGTTTATTTTCAATTTACAATCTGTAGAAACAACGAGAATAGAAAGGTTCTGAATTTTTGTGAAACATCACAGCACAGTTGAAAAATATATGGCAAATAGAAATCCAATATGGATGGTGTTAAGAGATAGATGGGAGGGGTTGAATGGAGCTGAAGGTTGGGACTAATAACAACAAGATAACTAATGTAAAACATACTGTGTCTGTAAAACGTATACAGGTTATAGGTTAAGAACTGTTGTGAAAGAGCACAGTTTGAAAGATATGGCAAATACAAATCAAACCGGATGGACATCAGAAATAGATGGGAGAGGTTGAGAGTAGAGGAAGGACAGGAGTAAAAACAAAAAATATATAACTATTGTAAAATAGACTGTGTCCATAAAATGTATATAGTATGTATAAGATGGAAGTAGAGACCTACAGTGGGGAGAACAAGTATTTGATACACTGCCGATTTTGCAGGTTTTCCTACTTACAAAGCATGTAGATGTCTGTAATTTTTATCATAGGTACACTTCTGTGAGAGACGGAATCTAAAACAAAAATCCAGAAAATCACATTGTATGATTTTTAAGTAATGAATTTGCATTTTATTGCATGACATAAGTATTTGATACATCAGAAAAGCAGAACTTAATATTTGGTACAGAAACCTTTGTTTGCAATTACAGAGATCATACGTTTCCTGTAGGTCTTGACCAGGTTTGCACACACTGCAGCAGGGATTTTGGCCCACTCCTCCATACAGACCTTCTCCAGATCCTTCAGGTTTCGGGGCTATCGCTGGGCAATACGGACTTTCAGCTCCCTCCAAAGATTTTCTATTGGGTTCAGGTCTAGAGACTGGCTAGGCCACTCCAGGACCTTGCGATGCTTCTTACGGAGCCACTCCTTAGTTGCCCTGGCTGTGTGTTTCGGGTCGTTGTCATGCTGGAAGACCCAGCCACGACCCATCTTCAATGCTCTTACTGAGGGAAGGAGGTTGTTGGCCAAGATCTCGCGATACATGGCCCCATCCATCCTCCCCTCAATACGGTGCAGTCGCCCTGTCCCCAGAAAAGCATCCCCAAAGAATGATGCTTCCACCTCCATGCTTCACAGTTGGGATGGTGTTCTTGGGGTTGTACTCATCCTTCTTCTTCCTCCAAACACGGCGAGTGGAGTTTAGACCAAAAAGCTCTATTTTTGTCTCATCAGACCACATGACCTTCTCCCATTCCTCCTCTGGATCATCCAGATGGTCATTGGCAAACTTCAGACGGGCCTGGACACGCGCTGGCTTGAGCAGGGGGACCTTGCGTGCGCTGCAGGATTTTAATCCATGACGGCGTAGTGTGTTACTAATGGTTTTCT